TCACCCTCTCCCATCACCCTCTCTTGTTCAGCTCGTCCATCAACCCCTCATCTTGGTTCTCTCTTCACTCACACATTATTTTCTCACTTCCTCTTTCGTCCGCGCCCACATCCTGCAAGTCGCCTCTCTGCACATCGCTGATTACTTTTGAGGGCGTAGCTTTGTCAATGCACAAAGCCAGACGGTTTGTCTGCAGCATTTTGTTTCCCCCCCCTCCTTGTTAGCATTAACTTTGGACCAAATTGAGGCTTTCAAGTAGGACCACTTAAGCTGTATCACATTCTCTATCTCATGAGACTGGAATTAGATGAGCGATCCTGTCAGTAATTTGGTTGTTTGGCTGGAAGGCTTTAATGATTGCATATGAAAAGTGGCGAATTTTTCCTTCCTTCTGTATTTATCTGTCTACTTTTCTCTTTATATTAATTTATTAGAAGAGTAATCCCATTTAACATTTACGAATGATTTATGAGTCTACTCACTTTTTAAGCAGTAGTACGATCATTTGCGTTGACAAATGCGAATTTTCCTTTTTGAAAACGTTCATGATATAAATATACAAATATATATATATATATATGCGTCTGTGTGTATGTGTGTGTGATTTTAAAAATTCAACGACATCGTCATTATTTGTTTATAATTCAATGATCACTGTTTAAATCACCTCGGACGAGCCTAGCTAACTCGGATTATTATTTAATATTTGCATGTCACATTGTGTATTTGCTTCCAGGTGGACATTTTTCGGCCATTGACTCATGTACCGACTTGTGAGTCGGCTCGATCAGATTCTACGGTCGTTGCAAATGACCTACAAGCTGAACGTTTGCTCGTCGACCATCCTGCCACTTCGAGCGAGAGCGACTTTCGCTGCATTGCTGTCGAGATCAACGAGGAGCGTTTCGGTAGAGCGGCTCTTTACGATGATGCTGAAGCGGAGGAGATGACAGAGAACAGAGATGATGCTGATGAGAACACCGATGAGGATGAGCTATGCTCCTTCTACAATCTGGAAGGGGCGCGGGTCGAGGCTTTCATGGGCTTGGCAGGCTTAAATAAAGTCACTTCGAGCAACACCAGCCTTGAACGTTTCCAAAATGCAACCACTGACCCAACTGGCGGTCGCCGAAGCTCTGACCAAATACTGCAACGCCGATTTGCTCCTCAGGGTCAGCGCGAGGGCAGCGCTGGGCGAGTGAATTTGGAATGGTCGACCCCTGCGACTCTTCAGGCATCTCAGGCAGCCGTCACGGATTACTCTCCGGACGTCGCTGAGCCTGTTGTCAGCTCATGCGTGAAGACCAACATTGCTCTGGGTGGGTTGACTTTTTCCAGGTGAAGGCTCCGCGGTTGTGACACCTCTTCATCCAGTCGTGGACACTACTTTTTCGTATATTCGTCTATTTATGTTAATTTCCGTGTAATCGTGCTCTTCACATAGATTTAATCCTACATTTTGTTCAACTAGCGGGTCAGATTTCCACGCAGAATTGAAAAAGCTCTTTGGAGATTATCTCATTATTTGCTTCTTATTCAAGAGTTACCGATGGCCTCAGAGCATACGCCGAATCCAATTAATACCATCAAGCAGAATGACAAAGTCGTGTTCAATCGAAGGTATGAAGACCAAGATGGTGTGGCCTTTTGTGTGGTCGCAGTCTCCTTTCGTTGTATAGAGGTTGGTTGGCCTTGTTTTCGCAACATGGTCTTGTTGGTAGGAAGACTTAGAGGAACACACCTAGTCCGGAGTCCATTGTATGCATCATCATTTCCAAAGTCAGACCGTGGACGTGGTACATTGCCAGACGTTTCGCCGGCATCGTCAGTGAGTCTCGCCATT